ACCTGTGCAGTATAATTGTCTAGTGAGAAAAAATTAACAGTAACCCTAGGCGAGGAAAACGAGACGAACATTTGTTCTAATTGTTACACCAAGAGATCAACGATCAGACGTTAAAATCCTAGTTAAATTCACGATAATGCATTTCCCAACAGCATACCTGTTTCTTCCTCGTCAAGAATAAAGTGGGAAAATGATGGTTTACAAATCTTTCCAACTGGATCCTCACGTTTATAGCGATTTAAAGTATTCAATCAGCACCGCTTCATCGTACCTTGTGGTTTACTGGTATAAAGTCGTAAACACAATAACGGATAACTATTTGGAATTAATATTTAGAATTGCAGTCCTATTTAAAACAACCCTCTTTTAAGAAAAAAACTTTTCAGCGTTTTTTTTTTACACTACCTTGACCAACACTGTAGCTTTATTTATTTATATTACAGTTATGAGAGTTATGCCCATATCAACGTACCCGTTCAAATTGTGCGCTCATTTACTTCGCCTACAGTCATTAGTCTGCCTTTATTTTTCCAAATAATTGCTGTCATTTATTTCCTTGTAAAACCAACGACAAATGGTAAAAATTGCAATGTTTGAGAAGTAGTGAGAACAAAAAATTTGAGAATGAGAATGATACAAGGAAGCAAAGCCAGACCTGTGCTTTTCTAAAAAGAAAAAAACAGAATGTGACGGTTAACCTTAAGAAAGAAAAAATCCAAACCCACTATTGCTTAAACTCACTAATCCGCAAAAAACTGATTCCAAGCAACATTACTGTGTAAGGGTTTTCGACAACTCTTCCTGTAGGCAGCTTTTTATTCGAAATTGGATTTTGATGTTTTCCATCCAAGGCGTACGAGAAGTGTGTTCTTAATCTAAAGAAGAACTCCAGTGCAAACACCCAGAATTAGTTAGGAGGAGCGAGGAAGGTGGAAGAAACTGTTATCCTACACGCCTGCAGCCTTCAAAAATTTTTTCCACCGATAAACTTGCATGATCTTTTACATGCTGAACCTCCGAACTATCGCTTCTGCGAGAAAAGAATCAATGTCAGATAAGTGCGCGTATTTTGACTTTGAATTGGTACCAAAAACATTTGTAAAACATATAAAAAGTAGCGCTTCAAAAAAAGCCTTAGAATTTTGATGAAGTTTTTGGTTGGACAGCAATTCCAGTGTTTTTAACCTTGCTGCTCGAAATGGCAATCCTACAGTGTCTCAATAGCGTTTATTACCCTTTTTTATTACCTGATAAGCTATTAAAGAAGTTTGTAACATACAAAATAAATGTGGTATGATTTAAGTGATTCAAATGAAGAGAAAGGAGCCTTGGGATTTTGTTAAAAGTAGTAAATAACAGAAACTTTTCTAGCTTCAGATAAAATTTCTATAGGTTTAAATATTTAAATTTTCACTTAACCAAAAATAAATTTATCCACCTTCCAGATCAAAAGTTTATACAGGTGCAAGACTACCCAAGTGCTCATCAAACATTGTACAGAGACTAGGTAAGGTAAAAAGTACATGGGGTACACATAATTTATGGTATCTGGTGTCCGGGAATAACTTCACAATAATCGACAATTCTTCGAAAATCACAAAGAAACATTAACATAACAGAAACAACTGCAAGAGATCAAATGTGAGGAAACAAAAATCATATAACATATGAAATCGTTTATTCTATACATCTATACATCTGTAAAAATCCAATATTTACTTCAGTATGGCGGGTAGGCCTTTGGCTGCATCTCTGCGGGAATAAACTGAGCTGAAAATTTTAAAAAACAGTTAATGTACAACAAAATATACGCATTTAGATACAGGAGCTTTTTGGCGCGCATGCTTCGTAGTGTGGCTATTCCAGGTTAATTCTCAAAAAGTTTAACTGAACATGCCAATTTGACTTTTTCCGTCAACAAAATATAGCATCAATTAGAAGTAATAAATCGAGAGATAAAACAGTTAGACCCCCCGCAAC